CAATTCCTCAATCGTTGATTTGGTAGCGTTGGAATCATCGGGAATCACGAAAGATCGAGGGATCCTCTGATCATCATCTTCTTCGATCTTCTAGTTATCTGGTTGGGTCAAAGCCGATGTCTGTGATTGCTAATTGGTATCTCGTTCCCCTTCTGAGCCCGATCCCTTTACTGGCGAAGGCGAGGATATTGGTTTCGCTTACTCAATGGCGAACATTTCTCTTGCGGCTGGTTGTTCTCCATACACAATTTTAACTCCTCTCGATGTTGGGAATTTAAGGACCTGGTGTAGGGTCGAAAGTACAACTCTCATGTTGTGGATCCTTGGCCTACCAAAAAGGGCGTTGTATCTCATGTCGCCTTTGATCACATGGAACTTCATTTCCTGGATGGTCCCGGCCACGTTTATCGGTAGAATTATCTCGCCTTTGGTGGTTTCACATGCCATATTGAATCCGTTTAGAACCAGGGTTGCGGGTACGATCTGGTCATGTAGGCCGAGTTGTTCTACGACCTTCAATCTGATGATGTTGGCCGAGCTACCTGGATCAATCAACACACGCTTAACTTTAGTTTTATTCATGAGTACGGATATTACCAGTGCATCGTTATGAGGTTGTATGATTCCTTCTGCATCTTCATCATTGAAGGACAAAGTCCCTATGGGCATGTAATCTTGAGTTCGAGATCGCTTTTCTCTCACAATCGATGTCTTAGTGAATGACGTGTTGTGGTTCTTCTTGTTCGTTTTGCCTTCCGAAATCCCTGTTTTTAAAATGGTTCTTCGACCTATCGCTTAAAAATTCTCGAAGGTGCCCTTTGTTAAATAACCGGGCTACTTCCTCTCTTAGTTGCCTGCAATCCTCCGTCCTATGGCCATGGGTGCCATGATATTCACACATTTGATTGGGATTCCTCTGGGCAGGATCGGTCTATATGGGTCAAGGCCATTTAGTGTCTTTGATGCATCCGATAGCTGACACGATGACGGATGCATCAATACTGAAGTTATATTCCGATAACTGAGGCACTTCCTTAGATCCGGCAGTCCTATCAAACCTACTTCTGTTCATCAGCCCCCGGGACCCTTGACCTCGATCACTTCTTTTGTTATTTTGCCCGGGGTTATGTATCGATTAACTGACTCTGCGGTTTTCATTAAACAGTCGGTATCGATCGCCGATCGGACCTTGTTCTCGATTAATATCCCTTCGAACAGCGGGTTCAAACCTCAATTGATCATCTTCGACCCTAATTTTTAATTGGTACCGATTGTGAATGTCGGCCACGTGATGGCTGGGTATTCGGTCAGGTTATGCTTTAACCATCGTGAAGCCGTCGAACTCCGTTCGTTCAAATCTTGAGTGAAATCCTGAACAGCCCAATCGTCTGCGATTGGTGGCAGATCCATTCGTTCCATTTGAAAACGAGATACGAACTCCCTTAGCATTTCGTTATCCCTTTGCCTTACCTTGAAGAGGTCCGATTTCCTTGTTGCGACTTTTATGGCGCCGGCATGTGCTTTCATAAAAGAATTTGCTAATATGGCGAACGAGTCGATGGAATTTAGTGGTAGGTTGTGATACCAAATCATTGCTCCCTTCGAGAGGGTCTCTCCGAATTTGTTTAACAACACAGATTCGATTTCATCATCTTCCAAATCATTGCCCTTGATGGCACATGTGTAAGAAGTGACGTGCTCGTTGGGATCGGTCGTTCCGTTATGTTTGGGAATTTCGGGCATACGAAATTTTTTGGGGGTTGGTTTTGGGGCTGCGCTCGAGGGAAAAGGTTTTTGCACGAATTTTTTTGAATCCAACCCTTTTATCATTGGTGGAGCTCCCGGATCTGATCGACCCTAGAGTTATATGTTTCTACTTTTTTATCTTTGGCTTCGACTCGCTTTGTGAGTTCCTCGAGCAATTTAGCAATTTCGGGAGTAGTCCCTGATTCTTGCTCATTTGACTTTACTATGGCTGGCTCCGTTCTGTGGGTGATTTCTCGAGGTGGATTGGGCTCCGGCCTGCTTTGTAGCTGGGTTTGGCTCTGCAACTGAGCTATTGCTGCCTGTTGAGCTTGCAACATTTCGAAAATCATACGCAAGCTAACGCCGTTTTCCTTGATGTTATGAGTATCTTGAGCTGCAGACCGAGTGCCACCATGAATGGTATTTGCGGGTTCAGAATGTAGGTTTGCCTCAATGGCCACATGCGAATTGATATCTATCGGCGCTCCGATTCGAGCTCCAATGGCGTTGACAAGTGGTCTTTCGGTACTGGTTGTCAAGTTATTGTTCTCATCTTGAAGACCGGCTTCGTTGTCGATTGGTGAGGCCATTTGATTGGTAGTTAGTTGTTGCTAATTCGAAATCCAAGATATTTTCGGAGACAAGCGCAAAACACAACGGTGTGTTTTTGCAGATTCGTATCAAATAACCAATGTTATCCTTAGTCCCACGGTGGGCGCCAAACAGTTTACCCAAAAAATGGATAGAGTTGAATTTGCACGTAGTTCTAAGGATATGTAGTGCAACTTAATACAAATCGTAAGGATAAATAAAAATATCAAGTATGGATTACAAAGTATGCTAAATAGATAAGGTTGCAAAGAAGATGAATTTTAGGACTAAACAAGTGGAATCAATTTATGAAACTTACAAGAACAATTCTTGGATATGGAACAATATGGTGCTTGAATTACAATGTAAGTAAAAACTTGGTCCTTACAGAAATGATAATCATCCCCTTTATAGTAGAGGGATCTTACTTTAGATATAATTGAAAATACATAGTGGGAGACCCATGATAAATCAGCTTTTTCACAATTCCTGCCAAGATTCTCTCCTCTAGAGGGATTGCAACGGCTCTTGTCCATGAGCTCGATATTGACTCAAGTTTTCGGTCTTGACTCGAGCTCTCGATCTTGACTCGAGCTCGATTCTGACTCGGATCCTTGAATTGATTCGGGGTCAATGTTGGTCGGTCTCTGGATCATAAGCTCGATAATTTTACTTTGCATCATAGTTCGATTTAGATTCGAGCTTGATAATGATATCGAGCTCGACATCGATCGGTCCCTCGGGCTCGAAGCTTGTTTGTTCCATCTTCGGAACCCATCTTAAAGTCTTACTTCGATCCATCATGTTTCGAACTCGATCAATCGTACGAAGGCCGAAATTTATTTCGACCGTATACAAACCTTTACCTTCAAGGTTTACTAAAATATATTTATATTGATAACTTACTTTAAGTTAAAAACACATTAGTATTTTTTCATGTCCCCACTGTCAAAAGCTTATTGACGAATATGAAAAATGGAATATGGGTGGGATTAATCATATGGATGGTCATTCAAAATAAACGAAAAAATTACTCAACTTCACCTATGTAGACATAGAGGCGATCCACCTTAAAAATTATGATGGATGGTCATTCAAAATTATTTTTTGAACAAAAAAACCACTCAACTTCACCTATGTAGAGATAGAGGCGGATCCACCTCAAAAATTATGGTGCACTTGCACCCATCCTGTTTGGAGCTATAAGCTAGAATTTCTATACAATTTTCTGCATATTTTGTTGTGTAGTACAGTATGAACTCATGGTCAAAAATAGGTGTCGGGTCCCCAGGTTCCGGACCTTGTAGCTACTTATTCTATTTCATTTTGACCTCTTATTTTCTTCTCGCTCCATTTCTCTATTTCTCTTGCCCTTTCTTTTCATTTCTCTTTTTCTCTTTGACTTCATCCAATCCGATTAATTCACTAAGTCTTCATCCTAAACAACAGATTAAGAATTTTGATATTAACTATTGATTACTTTAAGTTGATATTTGTTTTTATTTTGAACTACACTAACTTTGTTTTACAAAAAATAATTTATGTGACTAAAAGATCTAAGTTATGAAGTACATGATAAGGTTTGCTTCATATTTTTTTATTCCTATCAAATTATTAAATTTTTATAATTTTTTTCTGGTAAGCAATTCACATATAAAGAATTAGCCATATGCTCTAGGGCTTTTTGATATCTTTGTGTTTCTATTTGAACTAAAACTTGCAAAAGTTTCAATTCTTACATCATTAATTTGGCACTAACATTCTGTTGGGAATAAACCCCCTACAGAAATAGTATTCACAGTAATAAAAGCGGAATAATAACATAGCACTGAGATACGGTAATTAACAAGAACAAAAGAGTGACAACGACACCAAGATTTTTACGTGAAAAATCATTTTGAATAAGGGAAAAACCACGGCCCTGAGACGAGCAACTGATATCACTATAACAAGGAATTTTACACTTTGTAGGTCCGAGTAAAATACTCCAAAGATCATTACAACACTCAAAAGAAATAACCCTCTTTTAATATTCTCACCTTACTACAATATCGTTACTCTCTATTTTTCTCACAGACTATTTTCTTATACATTATCTGTGAAACCTCACTCTTTCTTTCTCTCTTTGTTGGTGTGTAGAAATGAGAGTTGGAACTCTCCTTTTATAGCCGAAACTTCACTCTCTAAAGCCTACTATATTTGATAATTTGCACACATTTTTTCCTTCTTTTTCTTCAATATTAACAATTTAACAAAGTTGGCTACCAAACCAAAAAAATTCGACAAAGTTGGCTACCAAACCAAAAAAAAATTCCTTAGGCACATCTTATTACTTTGGCTATTGAATGAGGTGGACCCATCACATTCTACCTTAATTTCCTCTTTGCTTTGACACAGTAAGAACCGAATCGGTTGTATTATTCAAAAAATTATATAATATTAATGATATAAAATACAAAGTTAGATTTATCAAGTGTGGAGTTTATCTCTTTAGATAATGTGAAAAATTGATTAGTTGTAAAACATTATGACAAGTATCAACTTTAGTTAAAACTAGTGGTGCACCCATAGTTTTAAAATCTTGGATCCGCCTCTAAGTAACTTAACTATTTTTCTTAACTCCAACAGGCCACTCAATGTTGGACAAAATCAGCTAGTGAAAAATGAGTTCACGCCAAAAGGATAAGGACAATGAGTTCATGCTTAATGAGCAAGATGAAGACGGTTTTCAAAATCAGCTAATGAAAAACAACTAGATTAAAAAAATAAAGAAAAACGAACTTTGACTTGGCCTTTCGACGGACCAGAAGCCCAGTCCAAAGGTGAGTGCTCAATCGTGTCTCTTTCGGTGTGAATCTCCTTAGCCAATTCATAAGGACAAGGTTTCAATTAGACGAGATTGAGATAGATCAGGAACGAGGGAAAGATAAGCGAGAATAGAGAAGATATTATAAATAAATAAATAAATAAAGAAGGGGTTGCTCGCAACCGAGTAGCAGGAGCCGATTGGAAATGAGGGAGAATGGTTACTTGGGGGTATTGTTTTGGGTCTTGGCCCTCTTTGGTTGGTCATATCAGAGTACTAGGTTACATAGGTCTCACGAGTCACGATAAAACTTAGTAGAATCTGAAGGATCGGTATGGAGATGTGTGTACTTATCTTTCAGAGGCTATGAAGTTTAGAAATAATATCACTTCTTTCTTATCCTGTCGTGCAATTTTATTCTATCATCGATAATTGAACCATTCTATTCTTATTCTCTCAAAGATGGCGAGAACATATAATACATCTAGCGACATTCACATTCTTGAGCAAAGATTCTAACTGTTCCCGCTAATCTTTTCTATGCGGCATGTTTGCTTTTTGTTTTTAGCAGATCATTGATTTTGCTAGGAGACAAGTGTAGTTCTCACATTGCGCGATTAAGTTCTTGTCATGTTTTACGATGGAATAAAACTCAGAATCCATGGAATGAATCTTCCATTACATTTTTTATGGTTTCCTTCTTTTAAATGTGAACTGCAATAAAAATGAGCTTAATCAGGAAATCCAATCAAGCAGTTTAAATTAGATCTATTCAGACTAAGCAAATTACTGTCGCTTGTGCAGGGAAAGAAAATAAAAGTTCCGACATTCTTGGTTCCTGCTACTCAAAAGGTTTGTAATATTTATGTATTACTACTAGCCAGCTACGATGTCAATGTAGACCGAAATATCTGATGCAAATATTTGAAAATGTTTTAGGTGTGGATGGACATATATACTCTCCCGGTTCCAGGATCTGGCGGTAAAACATGTTCCCAGATTTTTCAGGAAGCAGGTTGTGAAACACCTGCTAGTCCTAGTTGTGCGGCTTGTCTGGGCGGCCCTCAAGACACTTACGCACGCTTGAATGAACCTAAGGTAAGCTTTTTATTATCTCATGTGAATTGTACTTTTCATTAACACGCTCCCACAGTACGTCAAGTTTGTTAATTGTTATATATGAATAATTGATTAGTGATTAATATGCCAACCACCGTAAAGCTTTTTTGACTCTGATATTACAAGTAGACGTTGTTGGCTCGTCTTGTAGAAATGCGGATACTCATAGTGTATTCTTTATAGAGCAGGAATATATTAGTGAACTGAAGCCGAACCTTACAAGCTGATTGCTGTATCTGGGATAACGTTTGTTTTTAAGCTAATTATAATGGTGACATAGAAGGGGAGCCTTGGCGTAACTAGTAAAGTTGCTGTCATGTTTTTAAGCTAATTATAATGGTGACATAGAAGGGGAGCCTTGGCGTAACTGGTAAAGTTGCTGTCATGTGACCAGGAGGTCACGGGTTCGAGCTGTGGAAACAGCCTCTTGCAGAAATGCAGGGTAAAGCTGCGTACAATATACTCTTGTGGTCCGGCCCTTCGCTGAATCCCGCACATAACGGAAGCTTAGTGCACCGGGCTACCCTTTTTTTATAATGGTGACATAACGCGGACTCTTTTTGCCACTTTATGCTAAAAATCTTTTCACTATCCTGATTAAAGTGAGAGCAATCATAGAATCGTAGGAATAAAAGATCAATTTTGCTGCAATGTAGGTTTTTACACCGACTCTATGAGTTATTGTTTTTCAGGTCTGTGTCTCGACCACGAACAGGAACTTCCCGGGTAGAATGGGGCACACTGAAGGCCAGATATATCTTGCATCCCCATATACAGCTGCAGCATCAGCATTAACTGGCAAAGTCACTGATCCTAGAGAGTTTTTGATGTGAAGTTCTTGAGAGTAATTCGTTATACTCTGAGAGTATGTATATGATTTTATCACTATGTTGCATTGAATTTGACATGCACACCTGACATACAGGCATAGAGATGTATTTTCCTCATGTTGTACGGTATTACGTCATTCGTGCCTTCATATACACATTGACATATAGGTATAGAGATATACTTTCCTCATGCTATCTAATATGAAACATTTACATGTTGAAAGTTTTGGGAAAAATCATAGTTTTTCAAACTTACTCATATTTTGGTGATTTCGGTAAAAGATTTGGGTTTTACTGTTATACTTGAAAGCATGCCTATTTTCCGAAATTGTGAACGAGATGAGCATATTATTTTTGAGTTATTACTTGTACTGCTTTAGTTATATTGTTATGAGTTGTTACTGATGTTGATGTTGGACTCTGACCTTTGTCCCAGCTCGTCACTACTTTCAACCTATGATTCGGTTTGTTACTTATTGAGTACATGGGGTCGGTTGTACTCATACTACACTTCTGCACCTTGCGTGCAAATTTTGGATGATGATGTTGTCGTCTATGGCGGGAGATGGCATTGAAGATATACTTGTGTTCCGGTCATAGCTGCCTTTTGTTCTTGGTATCTTTAGAATTATTAATCTGTTCATATATATTTCAAACAGATAATGTATTTATTTTATACTATCTTTGTAAACTCTAAATCTTAGAAGCTCATGATTTGTACTACCAATCCTTAGGTAATTGTATAAAATTTAGTTATTTCCTTCTTGACTCTTAGCGTTATTACTATGTTGTATTTTATTGTTATTTGGCTTACCTAACGGGTTGGGTTAGGTGACATCACGACGGATTAAATTTTTGGGTCATGACAGTTGCACGCTATAGCAGACCTTATCGTCTTATTTATTATTATGGGATCGAACTGCATGCCGTAGCATACCATATTGGCTTTATATTAGCGCTTGGGTAGGAACTGCCCCTCCAGAGTCTGACATACCAGCAGTGAACGCAGGTACTGTACAGTGCCGAGTGATTGTGTGTGATGAGTGGGAGCTTGAGATAGGCAGATTGAGTACTCTGAGAGTGTGAGTACCTGGGATTATCACTGTGATGGATTACATTTGATATGCATACTTGGCATGTAGGCATAGAGATGCATTTTCCTCATGTTATACAGTGTTGTGACATTCATGATCTAGCATGTACATTTGACATATAGGCATTGAGATGTACATTCCTCATGCTAGACGGTATAGGATAATTGATGACTTGACATGCATACTGACATATAAGCATAGAGCTGTACTTTCCTCATGTTATCTGACAATGAAATATCTTATCTGTTGTTGAAAGTTTGGGAAAATTAGAGTTTTTCTGATATACCCTCATATTTTGGTGATTTTGGTGAAAGATTTGGGTTTTACTTTTATACCTGAAAAGCATGTCTATTTCTCTGTAACTGTGAACGAGCTGAGCATGAGATCTTTTGAGTTATTACATGTACTACTTTCATTATATTGTTACGAGTTGTTTTTGGCTATTGGTGTTGGACTCTGACCGTTTTTCCGAGCTCGTCACTGCTTTCAACCTAAGGTTAGGTTTGTTACTATTGAGTACATCGAGTCGGTTGTACTCATACTACACTTCTGCACCTTGCGTGCAGATCTTGGAGTTGATGCTGCTGATTATGGCGGAAGCCGGCGTTGAAGACATACCTAACTTTCGGACATAGCTACCACTTGTTCTTGGTAGTTTATATTTGAGTGCTATTTATGTATATTTCAAACAAATATTGTAAATATTATTTCATAGCAGCTTTGTAAATCTAAAGTCTTAATGGTTGATGACTTGAACTACCAGTTCTTGGGTTATTGTATAAAAAAATAGTTATTTCATCATTTATTTCTCATTAATCTCATTTGGAATATGTTGATTGTTAGTTGGCTTACCTAGCAGGTTGGGCTAGGTGCTATCACGACAAGTGAATTTTGGGTCGTCATAGTTATTCTTACCATGTATAGCTTTATATCGATATTGTTCCTTGTTAGTTTTATATTCATACTTGTACAAGTTATTATGTGTAGTAGGTGTCTTGATTGTTCCTCGTCACTACTCCATCGAGGTTAGTCTTGATACTTATTATGTACCGTTGTAGTGTAGTCATACTACGCTTCTACACATCGCTTTGTACAGATCCGGGTATGTTTGCCCGTGTTGGATGTTAGTGATTGATTTGTAGCTGTTTTGCGGAGACTTCAAGGTATACTTGCTCGGCGTCCCCAGTCCTCAGAGTCACCTTCTGTTACCTTTTCAGTATTGTTGTTTCCTTGTTAGCCAGTGTTGTAGTAGATGTTTTGGAACATTCTGTAGATCTTATGACTCAGTCTCACCAGGTTTTGGGAGCATTGTAACTGTTATTCAGTTTTTGAGGTATTTATGAGACTTATTATTTTATATCATGTTTCTAGTTTTATTTCTGTCATATTCTCTCAATTATTAGGCTTACCTAGTCTTAGATACTAGGTGCCATCATGACATCCTAAGGAGGGAAACTGGGATCGTGACATGGTTAAAATGGGTGCACCGTGCAGGCAAAAATCTCCCGGATGTAAATCTAAGTCAATCGCTCTGAAGAATATGAAGTCATCACCGGATTGAAGTGTGCGGACTTAGTCAATCGATCGACAATAAACCAGACTGTGTCATACTTCCTCAAGGTCCGTGGTAAGCCTACCACAAAATCCATAGTGATGTGCTCCTACTTCCATTCCGGTATCTCCAATCTCTGAATCAACCCACCCAATTTTTGATGCTCGTACTTCACATGTTGACAGTTCAAACACCGAGAGACATAAGCAACAATATCTTTCTTCATCCTCCGCCATCAATAGTATTGTTTCAAGTCACGGTAAATTTTCATGACACCTGGGTGACTGGAATAGCGCGAACTATGAGCCTCCCCAAGGATAACATCATCTGGCCTGAAGCTACATAACACCATCATTTCCAACCACAACCTTCTTATCACCACCACGATGCATTGTGTCTTTCAACACCAACAAGTGAGGATCATCAAACTCACGAGCCTTGATATGCTCCAACAATGATGAATGTGCCACAACACAAGCAAGAACACAGCTAGCTCTGAAACATCCAATTTCACTAACCGACTGGCCAAAGTTTGAACATCCATAGCTAGTGGACTCTCCACTGCTGGTAAATATTCCAAAATACCTATGCTCTCAACCTTCCTACTCAATGCATCGCCCACTATATTGGCCTTCTCCGGATAATATAATATGGTGATATCATAGTCTTTTAGTAACTCTAGCCATCTTCGCTGCCACAAATTAAGGTCTTTCTATTTGAACAAGTCTTGGAGACTCCGATGCTCGATATAGACCTCACATGGAACGTTGTATACATGGTGCCTCCAAATTTTCAGCACGTGAATAATAGCTGCAAACTCTAAGTCATGCACCAGGTAATTCTTCTTATGAACCTTTAACTGCGAGACGTGTAGGCAATCACCCTACCATCTTGCATCATCACCGCGCCAAGCCTAATACGTGATGCATTGCAATACACAGTGTAAGATCCCAAACCTATAGGCAACACCAACATTGGGGATGTAGTCAATGCAGTCTTGAGCTTCTAAAAGCTCACTTAATACTCATCTGACCATATGAACAGAGCACCCTTCTAGGTTAACTTGGTCAATGGGGCTGAGATAGATGAAAACCCCTCCACAAACCGGCGATAATAACCGGCCAAACCCAAGAAGCTCTCAATCTCTATAGCTGAAGTAGGTCTAGGTTAGTTCTGAACTGTCTCAATCTTCTTAGGATCTACCTTAATGCCCTTGGAAGATAAAACATAGCCTAAAAAGGTAACCGAGTCCAACCAGAACTCACACTTTGAAAACTTGTCATATAACTGATGATTCCTCAAAGTCTGAAGTATGATTTGTAGGTGCTGCTCATGTTCCTCTCTACTGCAAGAGTAAACCACAATATCATCAATAAAGACAATCATTAAGGAATCCAACAAAGGCTTGAACACCCGGTTCATCAAATCCATAAAGGTTGTTGGGGCATTAGTCAAGTCAAATGACATCACCAAGAACTCGTGGTGACCATAGCGAGTCTGAAAAGTGTCTTAGAGACATATGATGCCCTAATCTTCACCTGATGGTATCTAGATCTCAAATCAAACTTGGAAAATACCTTTTCTTGATAGTGACCTTGTTCAATTGCCAATAATCTATGCATATCCTCATCGATCTATCATTCTTCTTCACAAACAATACCGGTGCACCCCAAGGCGAGACACTAGGTCTGCTGAATCCCTTGTCAAACAAATCCTGCAATTGCTCTTTCAATTCCTTACATTCCGCTGGAGCCATGCGGTACGGTGGAATAGAAATAGGCTGAGTGCCCTGAACCAAGTCAATGCAAAAGTCGATATCTCTGTCGGGTGGCATAACTAGCAAATCTACAAACACCTCTGGGAACTTTCTCACCACCGGAACTAAATCCATGGAACCTCGGCACTAGAATCACATATATAAGGCATATACGCCAAATACCCCTTTTCGACCATATGCCGAGCCTTTACATATGAAATAACCTTGCTAGTACAGCCTTCACATATGATATAAGGCAATTTAAAGGTTTGTTTTATCAACTAAAACTATTTGCACACAATCTCATTATAAACGTGTGTGTAACGTGTTTCAACCCTTAATCTTTTAATTTCTTCTTTTTTTCTTCAAGAATATTTTCCATTTGAAGGAGTTTATTAATGTATTTTGTTTTATTGGTTCATATTTTCCAAAACAGGTACACCACCTTGCCTTTCATATGGAAAGTTAAGAAAAGATTCAACACCAAGTCTCAATAGAGACTCAAACTTCCGGTATATGAGATATAAGAATTTATGGCGAAAGGGATAAAGGAAAAGAAGGAAAAGCTTGTGAATAATAGGACATAGATTGATGATCATGACGATCGTTTCAATAG